AGCCGTACAAAATCAATAAGATTAAACAAATGTTATTCTTTTATATTTTGCCGTTTCTAACTTTATTGAACTCTTATGTTATTATAAACAGCTGTTCTATTAAATTTAATAATGTATGAATTGTTCGTTACATCATATTTACGAATAACCGAATTCGAACGAATCACATTGTTCACCGAGACTTTCTGCGCGCAGTTCCACGTTAAGCTATGTTACCGCCCCGGGGAAAATTAAAATATGCTGCCGAAAAATAATAATTAAACCGTCAAAAAATAAAATCGTCTCACCGAAAAGATGTTTACACACCTAACGGTGCAATGTGCCGACTGCCGAGATTAAATAAAACGATATACTCATGCTTGACTAATTTCGAGGAAAAAAAAGCGTACAGGAATAACGAAAATAGTTTGTACGATTACAGCACAAGTTCTTATCGCCTTGTGACATGCAGCGGTAGAATGCGGATTTTTCGTGGTAGTTATGAACGAAATAATATGTATTATAGTAATACGTTCATACAAGAAAAATCATGTATTAATATATGTAATATGTAATAATCATGTATTATTTTATTTTATGTTGATCCTCTACAATTTTCCGCCTCCGGGCAATTGCTCTCCCCCTTGCCCCTGTTGAACGCGGCTCTGTCTGCTCGTCCGAACCCAAATGTTACGTAGCTCGTCCCGAGCTGGGTTCCGTCGCGCCATCGGCGCAGGCGAAACTTGTGAAAATTCGTGTTTTCGCGGCGTCGGGTGAAATGTGGCCCCGCGGCTCTTGTTTCGCCGGCGGATCCGTTGACCCGAAAGCTGGCCTCCGAGGACAATCGACTTTTCATCGGATGAAAGGGACGGTAGGGTCGGGCGTTTTAATCTCGGGACACGCGGCCGTCGTCACACGCGACACCGTATCGCGATAATATTAATATTACGATAATCTCGGACGAACGGCTACGGACACGACCGTGTACACGGTCGAGAGTTGAACGTCGTCTCAGCCGCGGGGGCGAACACCGTGTGTACGCGCGCACCGATCCCTCACCGGATCACGAGGGTCTTTTCGCCCGACGCCGGGACGGAATCTATTACGATGAATACGCGATAAACGAGCTGCGGACGCGACGCGAAACACATTTTTGGCAGGAGGAAGGCGTGTGAAACGTCATATCATCACGGGGTCGGACTTTGGAGCGACGGACGAGCGTAGGAGATTCGAGAGATCGGGAAACGTGGAGGTGGAGACGAGACCGTGAATTACAGGGCGACCGGCCACGAAACGTTCGGGTGCTAGGGAGGACTACGAGCGAACTTACCACCACCACGGGTCCTGAAAATAGACACGTTCCCGGCGGCTAAGTCTTAGCCGATTCGGCTTGTCAATCCACGCGAATCCCACGGTTAAGTCGTTGCATTGATCCCACCAGATTTACCGTTTCGAAACGATTTTTCCCCTTGGCCTCGTTATTTGTCTTTTTCTTTCTCTCTCTCTCTCTCTCTCTCTCTCTCTCTCTATTTCTCTCTCTCCATGTTCTTCGACCTGTTATCGGATTTAACGAACAGCGCGCGTAGTATTTTACGGACCTCTACATAGGTCGGGATTTTGTGTAACGCAGGATTAGAGATGGTAAAACGACCGGAAAAAATCAAACGAAATGGAAACGATGGCTGGGATTTGTTTTGTCAGCTGATTGCGGAGAACACTCGAAACAAAAGTGGTTCGCTTGTACGCGTATAGAATATAATAAATACGTGAACAAAATAATCGTATCCGTCGCATCCAATGTAACGATAATGATGGCACGCACCAAGGTTGATCAAGTTCTCTAATTGGTTCAACTCGCCTAGTTAATCCAGACAAATCTGGGTTTAGTTGAAAGTTAAAAATTAAATTTTTATCAACTCGTAAATGTTTCAGCGAGTTAAACAGTTGGAAATAATATTACTTTTTTTTTTTTTTTTTTTTAAACTGAAAAACGTTTTTATCCGAATTGAAATCCAGTTTAAAAATGCATTTCTACAACCATAAGGATTATTCATACGGAAAACTGTGAAAATCCGCTACAGTTCGTACCACTCGTATACGAATATGTAGTATGCATCGTATACGAAAGTTATAACTTTGGCGTAGCAGTGAATATCCGTTTCGTTTCTTTCGACTTGCGTTGATCAAACGCCCCGAAATCACAATAATCGCGTAAGCGAATTCGTGCACTCGCGGTGTATACGGTTATACGGAACAATATTTGTTTTATTTTTTCGGAAACGACTAAACGACATGTACTACGTTTATATGCGCTAACGATACAGCGATTCATCGTGCCTCCGGGGCAGAGCATTGGTTTTGACGCATGAACGATGCAAACGGTGTACAATATATTATGTTACGATACCAAACCCATATACGTTCGGTACAACGGTATATAGTGAAGCCAATCCCGCATTATTATTATTGTAATTGTACCGTTCTGCGGTGTTTATATGCACCTGTCCCCGCGGAGCTGTCCGACAGCAAACGCCCTCGGGGAAGTCTATCTTCGTACACAATATCGTATTCTAATGACGACGATGATTATGGCACGGCGACGCGTACGTCTCCTCTTCGCCGAAACGTGTTCGATATGTCTATTATACGTTTGCGATATGATGAATTATGTATACAGTGTGTTCACGCTCAGGGGTATCAATAAATATTTCAGTTCGATGTTTTTACGTTAAAATGAGGTTTTCGGGGAACGAAAATGAGTATGAAATACACAATTTTAATATAATTTCAAGTTCTCGATTCGGGCAGTATGCGCATGCCCAATTCAATTTAATTCTTTTTAAATGGCAACACCATATTTTTTCTACATATTAGAGTAGAGTTTATTATTTTTTTTTTTTCTAATTTCAAAATTGGCAACGTTGTAGTATGTTCAAGTTTAATATTTACGAATAATCTTGTCTTGACGAAGTTTTAATTATGTTCAACTTAATACTTGAAAATCAAAGTAAAATCTCCGATATCGTTAAATATCTGGTTGTAGATGGATAAGATAAAAAAAAAAAAAACACTTATTGTCTATCGTAGTTTACTCTATTTTTTGTCATTCATACTACCTATATAAGGTAACTAAGTATTGATGGTAAGGAAAATTACAAGAACATACACACAATGAATTTGAAATTAAATTAAATTTATTAACAATTTAAGTTTTATCTTATAAATTTCTTAAGGTTTTTGCTTTGATACTTCTATTAAGATTCCAAACATTATTTTATAATTCTTCTGATGTTGCTGCGTTTATTTGGTTTTCTCTCAAATTATAACAAGCCAGTTGTATTTTGTTTTTTAAATAATGGACGTAAACTGGTAGGTCAGCATTCTGAAAATATTTCAAAATGCCCCCATAGATGGGGTCAAGTCTGAAAATCTTGTAAGAAATTATTCCATGGGATAAGAAAAATTTAACTTAAATATTGTCGCAAAATGATGGCGTTGTTTGCTGATGTATTTTGTTGTAAATGTGTACATATTTTCTCATGTAGCCAATGTTATATTTTATAACAATAACTGTTATTGATTTACAAGAATCTAAATATTTTCTACCCGTGAGTGTCCCGTCATAAAAATAAGGACTTAAAAGTTTTCCTCAAATGTACCTACAACACCACACATTTATACCCTAGACACTCTGAAAGTTAGTTTTTCGAGAACAGCGCGGATTTGATCCATCCATCTGATCGTTTATAGTTTTGTTTATTCATTATACCTACCATTATTTGTAAATTTAGACTTATCAGTCCACAAATGTCGCCAGAACCTTCTTTATTTATATCTTATCTATCTGCAAACAGATATTAACAACATCGGAGATTTTATTTTGATTTACAAGTATTAAGTTAAACACAATTGAAATTTCGTCAAGATCTGATTATTCGTAAATATTATTAAACATCAAAATACTAAAACTTTGCGAATTTCGTAACTAGGAAAAACTTTTTATATGAAAATTGTTTGAAGAAAAAAACTCTACTCGAACGTGTAGAAAAAAAATGGTGTTGCTTTTAAAAATGAAAGTAATTTGAATTGCGCATGCGCGTACAGACCTGACCTACGATTTGAAAATTGTCTGGAATCATGTATTTTGGTACTCTCTTTCATTACCCTAAACCCTCATTTCAATAAAAAGTCATCAAACTGAAATGATTAGTGGTACTTCTTAGCGTGAGCACACTGCATAAACGTGTACCAGATACGATACAGTATTATTAGCTACTCCTCGAACGAGACGCGTCGAATGTATACAAACCGCGAAAATAGCTCTTATAACGGAACCACCTCGAACGAAATTCTTGATAGAAAATACATGGAAAAAAAACGACCCGTATAGGCCTCCACAGAATTTGTACCGAACGGAAACCGTCAGACACGCAGAAACAGAGCGATTTTTCTTTGTTCAAATATTTGAGTAATCCGACTAGTAGACTTTTGTAGTGTTTCCTACCTTCGTTTTAATATTTTTATTCCGATTGGATCTCAGTCCATGTTTGTTTTCACAAGGTGCTATCCACGTTCTTTTCTTTCGATGCAGACCTTTTCACAAATAATATACCGTTAGAGTTACTATTCGTACGCTTATTATGTTTTAAGTAACTGTCTTTATAAAGTTTAATCATTACACGGAGCTTATTAAATATGAATTGTATAAGTACACCGAAAATGAATTAAACAAAAACGTACGTGCCGTTTAAATCATATAACTATTGAACCATATATAGTTTTTAAAAAGAATATTTTCTCAAAAATAAATCAATACGAAAACCGCCGACACGGTTTCGTTGTGAACTAAAAAATATTCTACCTTGATGGTCTAACGTTTTTTTGGTGTATAATTAGTATATTATGTGTTCGGTTGGTCAGAAAAAAAACTTGTATTTGATGCTGTGCAATAATGTGCGACCGCAATCGTAGATGATACACACACGATGTCTAATATTAATGTTTTATTTTACTTGTTTTAGGTATTGGAAGTAGCGTAAGGCCACAGGATAGAGAACTTCGGTCGACATCAAGCAAATAACCCGACTGTAAGTATCATTGCGTTTTGTTCAACACCAAACCATATGTAAATACATTATGATTATTCAAAGCAATTATTTTTATTTTTATTTCGTTTCGAACCATTGTTTCACGTTTATATTTTTGTAAATAATAAATTGTTATTATTATAATTTTTTTACCAAAAAAAAAAAAAAAAAATTATCCCACGCCGAATGTTGTTTTTATATTTTATTTTATTTTTATTTTTGGTTTTGGTACGCGAAACTTTTTTTTCATGCTATTATTTGTCCAAAACGTTTTATCCCACATAATTTTACCAGCCTACACTTGTACATAATCGACCAGTATTAAATTTCAGCTTTTACACACATTTATATTACAATACATTATCTACGCCTGGAGTTACACTACTCGTTACAGTATTAAATACGCTAACAGTATACAGATGATAATAATAATAGTACCGATATCAATTGCTACGTTTGTCATCAAACCAGATTTAGCGTAGAACACGTTATGTGCGTTATGTAATCTGTACTCGGATCGGGTGTGGAGGTATAAGACGACTGACTACCTCGACTTGCTTTTAAACATTTTTAGCGTTTCATTACGATGATTCGGGACTTTTCCGGATGAAAAAGAAAGCCGGGTACACTTTTTATAACAACTTTCTTTTAACTTTACAAAGTAGTTCGAATAAAACTTACATTTTTCAACCGTGTGACGCCGTATTTTGCTGGAGAACAGTTTTGTTGATCAACTTGGGATCGCTGAAACTATAACAGAAAAATACCAGTTATGGTATATTCACCACATTCTACCACGTCTACTGGCTGTAAAAATTAATTTATATATTAAATTGTTATTAATCATGCATTTATAAACTATAACAAGAAAAACATGTTAATATCTTCGGGATTTATATCAATGGCCAAGCATTAAACAAGATATTAGCAAAAGAAGATTGAAGTGGTCAGGTCATTCTTGGTGAAAATCAGGAGCAAATCGTTGACATTTTTTATTTTTTTTGGTAGCTTTAAGTTACATCGATAACATTATTAGCGTTAAACAGTTGGTAACATACTGCAGATGTACAGAAATCGTACGAGTTTTTAAATTATCTGTAAAACAATTTGGGGGTGCTTAATTGTAACACTTTGGTAAACACACAAGGGTTACGAGCAAAACAAGAGCAGCAGGATAAAAAATGCAGTTTTGATTTACAATAATAAGATAAAACTATCTCAACTGAACTTATTATTTTTATTACGTTTGAATCGAAATACAATCATCAAAAATTTGAAGTTGTTGTTGTATTTGTCCGAAACGATCTTTTGTCCGATCGTTCGCGTTCCATTTTATAACCGAAACTGATAAAGCATCATTTTCTTCTTATTATTATTATTATTTACCAACGTAATCCTACGCGCCGTATTGTATGACGTTCCGGTCGAATGCTTGACTATATTTCATAAACCGATTGATCAACAATATATTTCGTGTAACGAGGGGAAAAAAAGAAATCAATATTATTCCGGCTTCAATAAATTCTTAAAAAAAAACCCCATGCACGCAGTAAAAAAAAAAAAAAAATCGGCTTCCAGCGTGAGATAAATCATGATCCGAAAAAAAATGTCAACTAATAGATTTGAAACTATTATTTCGTCCTCCTCTCCTCGCGCGTCAACAGCACGCCACGCCCGAAGCCCTACGGTAACCCGTTCGATAGCGCACACCGTTCCTCCGTACGCGTTCGCATATTTTATTTCCGAGACGCAACAGACGCGTCACGACCAGCGCCGTAAGACCGGTCAAGATGGATTTGAGGATTGTTTCACACCCCCTGCCGCAGGGATGTATTAAGGAGAGGGTGAAGGGTACTATAGCCTCGGGCGGCTGCGTTTTTTCGTAACCATAATCATACGTCGTCCATTTTCATTCGTCAATCAAAAAAAATTTTAATTAACATTTTAAGATATTTGTACGGCGACCGCACTGCGATTTTTATTTTCATGATGATATCGTCAAAAGTTGACCGTGTAAAATCTACAGGTAAAAAATATTATCTTTTTTCGAAGAATCGTATAAAACGTGTGTAGGGATGGCAGCAAAACCTTACCCGAGGCGTCAAAACTCTGCTCTCCCGTCCTCCATGTGACCGTTTCTCCGTTGATCGTGGGGGCACACGATAAAACGCCGATCGATTGTGGTGATCGTTTTGCGATGATGCCGAGCGCGAACACACGCCGTTTCGCGGCGACCGCGCGTGCACGAGCACCGGTCGATCGAACTCACCTGTTGCAGTGCGGGCACGGCACTAGAATTTTTTTCCTGGGGGGGGGGGGGGGGCAGAGTGGGCGATTGTATATATTTTTATTTTTTATTTTTTTTTTTTTTTTGCACGCCCTAAGGTTTTTCAATAAATACTGAGGTTATTTAAATAATATATAACTATTTTCGTGTCATACAACGTAATATGGCTATTATTATTTTCGTGGCGTACAACCGCGATTAGACGAAAACGAAAAAAATGGTAACAAACGATAAGTAAACAAGTAAAATAAATATACACGATTCAGGGCCTATCTAAGAACTGAAAACACGAATCTTCGAAAATGCGAAAGTGTGTACGTACATTTTTTGACGTAGCTCTTTTCAAAATAATGTGTTACGACTTTGTTATGTCGTACATATTTTTCAGCGGGGGGGGGGGGGGGATGGGGGGCGGGCTAAAACCGTTTTCTGGGGGGAGGGCTAGATTACCCCCTCCTCCGTGGTGACGCGCCCGGCGCGGTGTTACGTTCAACGGCACGTTTTCCCCCGCCGCCGTCGAACACGACCGTCGACCGGTTGACAGGCGCGTACCGCGGTCGCAGCAGGTTACAGGTGCACGTCCAGGCATACGGCGGGACGGCGCCGGGGAGAAGGCTTAACCATTCGATCAGGGCCGGATGACTTGTACCGTGTAACGTAATCGGGAGCCGGACGGGTCTCGTCGTACACATCATAACCTGTGCCTCCATTCGTAATCGAAAATTCACAAAATAGTATTCAAACGTGCATGTTTGCCACACATTTGTGAAGCGTTCACGGAACGAACACAATAATACCTGCAACTGTAATGTAGCGAAGACACGTTGTAACGCGCGGCCGGACGAGAGCTACTCGCGCCGAAACGAAACTACGTTGGACCGCGAGGATGTCCCGGATGAAAAGTTTGGCGCGGACGAAAGTCGTCCGGGAATACGCGTACGGACCGTGTTGTTCTTCGGAGGTGATTCGCAAACGTAAACGTATTAATAGCGCGCGCGTCTCGGGACCATTTGTTTTCATCAACGGGAAAAGTTTCGCGCGGTAACCGTACCTTGGAAACAGTTGTGCTGAGCGCGGCAGTGTTTTCGCCCCCGTCCCAATCCCTTCAGCACCAGCATGACGTCGCGCCGGTAGATCCGGTGAATAATATCTTGTATGTGAATCATTTCAGATCCCCGGAGGGACGACGGAGGGCGTACACCTCCAGAGATACGTTTTTATCATTTTATTTTTTACTTTTGTTTCCAGTCATTTCCTTTACGGGGAAACGATGCGGTTTAGTACGGGACCTGCGCCCCGAACATGAACTGATGTATTATTAAATACGGAGAAATATTTTGCGGAGAAAAAAACGGAAGGCAAGGAAAAAAAAATACTTGATTGGCACCGTGGACGGTTTAATTTTTTTTTTTTTTTTTTTGTAGTACGTGAAATTAAATTTCTAAGAATTATTGTTTTATTTTACTTTGACATTACAAAATAAATACATAAAAAAAAAAAAAGAACGCACATAAGAGACCTCTTGCAAATACATCAATAAATAAAACTATTCCCTCGCGTCGATAAGATATAAAAAATGTATAGTTAATTTAACTTCGAAATTAAATGAATTCCCATCGAAATAGTATTACCCCGCTCGTGTACTATACACATCGTATTTAAAAATTTATTAAAAAAAAACCGCTTCGTATTGTCGTTTCAAATCAGAGTTGATTACTTCATTATTACACTATTAGTTTTCTATACATTTTTCAATTTTTTTTTTTTTCAATGTATTATGTTTGTAAGCCCAAATAGAATACGATTCGATTTCAAAACTAGAAACTCGATGACCTATTTGATTTACGCGATACAAGTGTTTCCAAATGAACAAATGTCCCAGATGGTTTGGGCATGTGATGAGGCGGGAGGAAATAAAAGTAGTAAGAGTGGTTATGAAAATTAACGTACAAGGGGAACGAGGAAGAGGAAGACCAAAATAGAGATGGTTGGATACTATTGATATGAGGGCTGTTGGTGTGTGCGTAAGGGATGTATATAGTCTCGAGAAGAGTGGAGTTTTAGGACAAGAGTGGCCCACCCCAAACAGTTGGTAGAAAGGCGAAGGAGGAGAAGAAGAAGAAGGAGAAGAAAAGTGTTCCAAATTATTGAAATGTCGACCATTTGCCCGTTTTATCGTTCATCGTATTAATAATATTTGAACTGTCTAGTGCGAATCGTTTCGTTTTGAAACTCTATTGTTATCATAAAATGACGATTGCGGTTCACTCATTGAGTGTATGATTATCTCGAAAATCAATTTAACGAGTAGAGCCATGACATTCACAATTCCGAGTAACGTTTGCGCGCCCGGGTGTGCATTCGTGTACGCCGAGTGTGCGTGCAAGAGCGCACATATCCTTTTGCCAGGAACCGTTTGAAGCTTTGTTAAGCCGAAGTACCTACCATTTTACGCTACGTCATTATTTTGAATTATATACCTTTATACAAAAGCCACGCGCACGAATTATGTATACAACAACGCACTACTTGGATGTCGATTCCATTATGAACAAGATGCGAAGCGAATGCGGTGAAGGCGATAGCAGTTAATGACAATAATCATAATAATAAAGATGATTATGATAATGACGACGATAAAAAATAATAATAACAACAATGATAATAATAAACCCTAATGGATTATGCCGGTAAACCATCAAACGGGATGAAA